ATAGAAAAAAAAAAAAAAAAAAAAAAAGTTCTGAGCCAGTATACTTGTAGGAAGGATCCGTTGAGAGAAAGAACAGAAACCCACCCAATTGAGAAATGAAGAGCAGCCCCAAAAGAGATGCTGTCATTCAGTGGTAGCTTAATTTGTCTTTTTAGTTTAAAACTATTTCTCTAAATTTGGGAAAACTTGCACCCTAGTTGCAACCACAGAGGAAGAAGCCCCTCTTGTTCCTCTCTTGTCAGATTTCTTGTTATATCAGCTAAAAAGTACATTACCTGGATACCCTAAATTATTATCAACTAACTTTTGAAAAGTGTGGTCTGTTTCATGCAAGCAAAATATTTCACTTTAGTTAATACCAGGTGTTGGGAGGCATGCTAAGTACAGTTTGCTTTTGTAAAGCCAGATTAACATAGTGAAGGTAATATTACTAGATGCCCAAAACAAATGCAAAACCATCTATAAGCTGAACACATGCTTAATTATTTTATTTTTAAATAGGTAATTTACAGACACAGATCAAAACAATAAAAAAAGATTTGTTAAATCTGAGTCTTAATTCTGTCCCATCTGGTCTGTTCCCTCTTGCCTACTATGGATAACCATCTTTTATTAATTTTGTTTTTAATTCTTCCAATATTTCTTTGTGCAAACAGGGACAAATACATGGTTATGTAGATATTTATTTGCCTTGCTCTGTCTATATACTCTGCTCTGCCTCTTGTTTTTCTTACCACATACTGGAGATTATACTGTAAGAGTACATTAGAGTTCTTTATTATTTTTTTAAAAAAAATATTTTGAAGTAATTCTACGAAAGGCTCTATGTTTTACTCCCAGTTAGGGTATTTCAAAATCTCTACACCTGTGTCATATGTAGGCAAGTGTTCTGGACAGTTCTTTCAATATGAAGTCTACAGAATTTTATCAAAGAACTTACATTATCTTCCTGTTAGTTTTTTAATAACCCACTGAACAGCATAGCTTTATTTTACCACTAAATTTTCTTTTATTTGAAAAGTTAGGGAGAAGTACTTGGATTCTAGGGGGAGACTTTTCCCCCTACTATCTCTGCTCCTTTTCCGTACTTTCTTTTAACTTCTGACTCCATCCTTATTACATTTTTTTATTCTCTCATTTCTTCTTTCACATTCTATATTAACAAATGTAAACTACTGATTCATTTACCAAATATTTATTATGGGCCTTTTGCTGTTATTATTCCTTTTAGTATTGGCTTTTATTGAATACTCATTATGAATCAGGTATCCTATTGGTTGTTTTACCTACGTTGTCAAATTTAATTCTCTGTGAAGCCTTTTTTATTTCCACTGTACAGTTAAGGAAATGAAAGTCAGAAAATGAGTCAAGTAAGTTAATTAAATTACTGCTAGTAACTGTCAAAACTTGAACTCAGTCTGGTTTTTCACCAAAAGATAGGCTCTTAACCATTATACTCTAAGAAAAGGTGCTACTGGTGGAAGAATTCCATGCAGCTCAGGATAACTAGAGCATAGGGTATGAAGAGGAAAGACTGGACAAAAGATCAGGGTGTAGAAGCAGTCAGGATTCTAGATCACAGATCTTGTATGCCCTGGTCAAGCTATATGAGCTTCATTCAGAAGGGCATAGGGAACAATCAACAGGTTTTAAATGTGTGAACAGCTCTGCACTACGGCAGAAGAGGATCGACTGGAGAGACCAAAACTGGGTTAAGTTAAAGGCAGGTAGACCAACTGAAAGGTGACAATGGGGATAAAAGTGTGAACAAAATGTAGTCATTTTATAGATTTGATAAAAATTTCACACAATTTCAAACTTTAAAAATCACTTGTCAAGAGTAAATATGCTTGACTGAGCCACAGATACTTTTTTTTTTTTTTTTGAGATAGGATCTTGCTCTATTGCTCAGGCTGAACCTTTGCCTCCTGCATTCAAGCGATTCTTGTGCTTCAGTCTCTTGAGTAGCTGGGGAACAGGGGTATGGGCCACCACGCCCAGCTAGTTTTGGTATTTTTAGTAGAGACAGGGTTTTGTCATGTTGGCCAGGCTGCTCTTGAATTCCTGGCCTCCCAAAGTGCTCGGATTATAGTTGTGAGCCACAGCACATGGCTTCAAATACCTTTTGATACAAAAATTTCCAGTTTAATAAGAGGGCACAACTATTACTTAATATTTGGAATTGTGAATTTCTAAAATTGTGTGTACTAAGAACAATGTACAAATTAGAGAGTTAGTGATATTAATTGGAAAACTTACAAATTAAATTTAAAAATATAAAAACAGATCTTCCCCCTGCCCCCTTTGGAATTGGGACCTTGGGCATTGTCTAGTCAAACTCTTTCATTTTACAGATTAAAAAAACCTAAAGCACAAAGAGGGCATATTCCGTATCAGATATGCTCGGGATGCCCATTTAGGATTACAACCCAAGTTTCCTAACTCCTTAATCATTTTTCTCACTTTCATACTAAGATCTGAATTAGCTCTCCTGGCAGAACAGGTGGGAGAAAAGTTAAAAAAGCTCGTATCTAGTAAGTACAAATATTATCAGTGCTTTATATGCGGATCTCATTTAACTCTCACATCTACTCTATAAGTATTATCTGTACTACAGATGGGTACAAAAAGCTCCACATGACTATCAGACACCAAAGCTTATCTCTTTTCATCATGGTACACTAACGCCAACAAGAACATAACCTAAAAGAGTCTTCTTCCAATGTTTAAAGAAATACCAGATTTGTATTAATAAATTCAGAAATCATTTAACACTGACCTGTAACATGCACCTGGATACAACAACTTCAGGTACTTCGGGGAATTTTTGTCGCAGGTCATGTAAAACCTGAAAATCAATTTGGTGGCTTCCTTGGGCCATTCGTATATTGCCTGATCAGGACTATTTGTAAAGTAGGCAATTCTAGGCCTTAGTGGAAACAGTACTCATCTCTTCTGTCCAAGCATTTTCTGTGAAAGAAAGAAAAAAAAATTAATGAGAACTGATTATAGAAGAAATATTGTTGTGGATTTAAAATTTCAGTACAAAAGAATATGTGCTTTAGCACTTAACATCACAAACTAGAAAAATATTTAGACCTAAAATGCTTTCCATATAGTTATACTATCTTTTCAGTATAACCTCTGATGGTAAACTTTTATATTGTCTAATACCTATGTATTTATATGCTCCATAATGGCTGAGCCAAAAGGCATTCAAATAAGAAATTACGGTCAAGGTTGTCTTCCCAGATTCTTTTAAAAAGGGAGAAGGAATAACATCACTGATATTTTTCTTAATGATTAGCCCGAGGTGAGTAATCTAAATTGGATGTTAATAAAATTTGCTACTACAAATGACTCTGAATGTTTTGTCTAAAACTTAATGATTTAAAACCCAATACATTCAATATTTTGCTTTATCTTTCAGATATATTTAATCCTTAAATGCACAATCAATTCATTCTCAGGGACTTAGTAGCATTTTATTCCCTCTGCTGTTAAATCAGTATTTGAAAAATACTAATATTTCCCTAGGGTTTTGATTTAATTGGCTGAAGAGTGAGCAGCCTGGACATATAGAGTTTTATAAGATCCCCAGGTGATTCTACTGTGTGGTCAAAGTTGAAAACTACCTACCTTATTCTTATTGTTTCTAATGTAAACCATGTTTAATGTTGAAAAATCTTTTGGAGATATAAATAGGAAATAAGTACATTAACCTAAATAAAATATTAAGACATTTAAAATCATGCTATTTAAAAATACACTTCATTAGGACAAATTCCATAAGAAGACAATCTCTCTAAAACTAATTTCTTATTTGTGGTATTTCTCTTTTAACCTCGTTGATATAAGCCTAAAAAAATACAGGTCTACAAATTCCATGAATGCAGGAATTGGGTCTCTTTTATTTATTATTGTGTATCTAGTACTTTATAAAAAGTCTTCAGCATAATAGTAGACATTTAAAATAGTTCTGAGTAGATGAGTAAAATAGGTCTGAGTAGTTGTAGAACTCCTCAGTGCTCAATTAAATGCTCACTTAGACATCATGAGTAGTAATGTAGTTAAGTCTTTTAGTTTTTTGTCATCATTTGATTAAATTGTACTTAATTATCTTGTCTGTGTGGCTTTAGCTTAGTTACATCTCATGGATAAAATCACTGCCAAATCAAGTTATTTAATCAATCAAGTTATCAAGCATTACAGATTTTCCAAAAGTATTTCTATGTTACATAGAAAATATGTGTTTACACATAATTTTAGCATTCAAAAGTAGTGTTTCTATAAATGAGAAAAAGTACTAGAAATTAGTAAATGATATTTTAAAATAATTTAAGTGGCGATAAACATGCTATAGAACTGCCCACCTTAAGGAAGCCTTCCTTGACTCCTCTCTATCAGCTCATTTCTCCCCCTCCCCCCCAATTTTGGGCTAAAACTCCTGGAAAAGCTTGTTTATATGTAAATGTCTTCACTTTTCTCCTCCTAATCTCTTTTAAACCTACCCCAGTCAGGCTTTCATAGTTTTTCTCCACTGAATCTACATTTATCAAAGCCACTATACACTTCCAGGTTATGAAACCCAAATGGTGAATTTTCAGTCCTCAACTTACTAAGATCTCTCTCTGGCTTAGGACCCATTCAACCACTACTCCCTCATTCTTTAAACAATTTCTTCATGTGACTTCTGAGGTTTATACACTTCTGGTTTTCCTTCTACTTACTGGCAGATTCTTCTCAGTTTACTTTGCTGGATCATTTTCCTTTTCTGGACATCTGAATGTTGGTGGATGGTAGAGTTCAGATCTATGGTTTCTTTTCAACTGTATCTACATTCCTCTTCAAGATAATTTCATTCAAATATTTGCTTTAAATGAAAGCGAATGATGCGGGGCAAATGATCATCTCCAACTCCAAAGCCCCTGGCTATCTACCACCCCTCTAACTTCATCTTCTACCCTCTCCTTGTTCCCTTAATTCAAAATGGCACTCTGGTGATTTCTCAAAGAAGCCACTCTTGTAATTCCCTTAGGGCTTTTGGATTTACTGCTCCTTTACTACTGGAACAGTTTTCCCTTAGATCCGCCTGAATGGCTCCCTTCTCTTATGTCATTAAGAATGTTGATAAAATGCCACTTCTTCAGAGACAGTTTCCCTGACCAATCCCCTCTATCTAAAACAGTGCCATACCTCTTCTCCATCTCCCACCATCGCATCCTCATACTGCTTTTTCTTCATAGCATATATCAATACCTGAGATATATTATCTCTCCATCCCCAAAACATTAGCTCCACGGGATCAAGGACACTGAAGTTCACTGCTGTATCTCCAGGCTCTACATTATTCCTGGCTCACAGAAGATGCAACATTTGTTGGATCTAATGAATATTTTATTATAAGGTTTCTTTATAGTTTCTTTCTATAGGCTTCTAAAACATATTTCAAATAGTCTAGATTTGGGGAAAAATTATTTAACACAATTTGAGGGAAAGGCGAAGAGTCTGACTGAGACACAATTTTATTATTTAAAGGAGGATGAATCATGAAAACAAATTTCAACACATTATTAAAACATATACTGAAATCTCTCACCACACTTGCCTGCTTTTCTAATAAAGACTATTAAGTACGCAAATGATAACATTCTTCAATTGTACAATTTTATTTCATGGGTTCTACTGCCTGCAATGACTAACTCCTACCAGACCAAATCTTTCATGAATAACAACTATAAAGAGTAGAAATGCATAAAAAACTACCTGACAGCAGAAACAAATGGAAGAAGGGAAGAAGAAGGGGTCAGCAATTCGAAGAAGCAAACAAAGGTAACTCTCCATTTTTTTAAAATGGCTTTTACTCAAACAGGCCCCAATTAGTTTGGGTAGCTAAAACTCATATAAAATACCTGCAGTCTTACTCACAACAGCTGAAAGCTTAGTGAGTAAATCATAGGAAGGAGAGAACCACGGAAGGAAACCCTAAATTCTGTGTATAAACTCTGTATGTATGTTTGATCTCCAAACTATACATATGTGTGACAGATTCCATTCAAGCAACCAGGCTAAGGTTAAAATAACTGAACTGAGACTTCAGAGCTCATACTTTAAGTACAGTCAAGTTATCTGGCTCAAAACAGTTAGCAACCAAACATCAATACTCATTGGAGGAATGCAGAATGCAGAGTCTCTAAATGACATTCAGAATCTCCTAAATAAAATCCAAAATTGTTAGACATAAACAGGAAAAACTGACCCATGCTCAAGAGAAAAGGCAACCAATGGAGATCAAGCCCAAGATGAGCCAGCTGCTAGAATTAGCACGTAAGTATTTTAAAGCAGCTATTTTAACTATGCTGAAGGATTTAAGTGCAAATACGCTCGGAACTCTCAGCAAAGAAATGAAAATATTACATACATATATATATATATATATATGGCAAATAAATAAAAATTTAAGAACTAAAAAATAAAATATCTGGAAAAATTCACTCAGTAGACTTAACCATGGATGGGAAATGACAGTGAACTTGAAGACAAAGCAACAGAAATTATCCAATATGAAGGATGGATAGAAAAATGACTGTGGGGAGGGAGAGAAATCGAACCTTAGGGACCTGTGGCAAGGTATCACAAGCTTTAACATACCTGTAATTGGAGATCCAGAAGGAAAGGGGAGGAAAGAATGAGGTAGAAAAAAATATTAGAATAAATTGTGGCTAAACATTTTGTTAGTAAACTATATACATTTACAGATTTAAAATACCAGTAAATCCCAACAGAAAAAGCCAAAGACTACAATAGGCACACGACAGCCAAACTGCTAAAAACCAAAAAGAGAATCTTGAAAACAACCAAAGAAACAGAATGACAATAATTCAAATGAAAGCTGACTTCTCATCAGGAACAATGTAGGCCAGAAGACAGTGAAATGACATAACGTAAGTACTGAAAGATGAAAAAACCAAGCTGTCAACCCACATACTATAGCCAGCAAAAGTAAACTTTAAGAATTAAGGCAAGATAACTATTTGAAAATGTAGCCTTTGTGGAGCAATCAGTCATTTGTATGGACAACCCAAACACATTACTGAAACAACTGGCATTTACTAATTTCAAAACAAAAACCAAGAAATATCTTGTAAGCTTACTCTGTAAAACTATTTCTCACAATAAACAGACATATATTTTCTATGTTAAAATGCAAAATAACTCCTTTCCTGAGAAACAGAATAAAGAAATCACACTTTATAAAATGTTTGGAGCAATAGTTATAAGGTTTCGGCATCTAACCTTCCACCAGCTAAAATGATCTAGGAGGATTAATTCTTTAAGGATTCTAAATAGTAGCAGAGTATATACAGGACAACAAAACATAAGTAAACATATTGGAAAGGTTTCTAAAATGTGCTGTATTATTTCCTTTCTTAAAGATTATGGAAACAATTTTTGATTTCTCAGTAACTATTACAGTGAAGAGTACTAAGCACTGGTTAATGGCTTAGGCTGCAAGTTATGCTTTATATTCAGCAAGGTTTATCATGGTGGATGTTTCTAGGACTATAAGAGTATACAAAAGCCAACTGTTTAACACGAGACCACGTCTCCAGATTAAACAAACAAACAAAAACAAAGAACGCAACTGAATATATAGATCTGATGAAAATCTAAACATTTACGAGGCAACTAGATAAGAGTGTCTAAAACAGGGACTATCATCATCTGTTTATCAGCTGTACATCTAATGAGTGTATAGTATGCAGAGATACCATGCTGAAGATAGTGCAAGTATTAGAGTCAATGTCCTTGCCCTGCAGATCACAGAAATTGCTAGGTTAAAGGCACATAAATACAAGTTTATAACTTAGATAACTATTTTTAACTTGCCCATTTTATCTTCTGTCTACCTTCTTCTGCTATTGGGTCTGCTGTCTGTCATCTCTCTTGTGGCTACCACAGCCACTGTTTTTATCTTTCACATCATTCCAAAGTAGAGCATAGGAACATGGTACATTAGAAGAAATCGTAGAAAGCAAAGATCAAGAAAAATAGGTAGGGCCCAAATCATGAAGTGTCTCATAGGACATTAAAATTTGGAAAGCCACTGAAGGATTTAAAGCTCAGAGGTAGGAAAGGTGACATGATCAAGAAATCATGTGTGTATAAAAAAATGGCTATTGTATGGAAAAAGGGCAAAAGAATATATGAGAAGACTAGTTAGAAAGCTACTGCTGTAGTCCGGCCAGAAAATGGTAATAGTTTGTACTGTGGATAGCAATGAAGACTAGGTAGAGAGAAGTGTGAAACCTTAAAGGATATTTAGGAAGTAAAAATGTATAGAAATCCAGTGACAGATTAGAAATTGGGGTAAAAGAGAAGGAGGTGTCAAGGTTGATTTCTGATTTGCTCAACTGGATCGTGGTCAGATTTCCAATTGGGAAACAATGGGAAAAATCCAACAGTACAAACAAAGAGAAGGATTACTGGTTTGTTTCTGAAACCATGCAATCTAGGGTGCCTTTACAACATCCAAATAGAGATACCACACAGGGAGTTGCAATATATGGATGGGTATAGCGCTCAAAGGACAGATCTGACCTGCAGATAAAAATGTGAGAGGCATCTTTAGTACCGGTATTAATTAAAAACTAAGTGTGAATGAGATAATCCTTCCATATAATTTAAATATGTCACTAATTATATTATAGATAAGACATTATATAGTAATTAAGTTTTTCAGAATGGTCACATTCTTTCTATCCTCAAAAAACTGAAGACTACGTTTAAAGATGGATTTTCAAGTATCTTAATGAATTTTTTTGTTCAGGAAATATTTTGATGTGGCATTAACCTGTAATGAAACTTTAAAAAATGCTTAAGAAAGAAAACATGTAAATAATTTAAAAAACTAGCAAGTGCTACGAAGCTCATCAGGGAAACTTCCCCTGCCTCACGCCTCTGTGCCTTTGATTCCTACTCTGCAGAGGTAACCATGGTCAAGACTGAGCTGCTTCTCCACATTCTTACCTATTGTTGGAGGTGGGACCTGGTGGTGAATGAATCACAGGGGTAAATTTCTCATAAATGGTTTAGCGCCATTTACGAGAAAATAAAGATTTAGCTTTAGAACTTAGTGCCTACCCTATATATACACCATACTTCTGTACTGCGATACTCCACTGCCCAGTCACTTATAATTTTTATTTAATCAATATTCAATGTTTATATTACTTATTTCCCCTATAAATACTGTTAGCCTAGATACTTAGTCAATAATGACAGATGGACTAAATCTCCAAGGTCACTTCCTGTAGTAGTATTTAGGGAATAAAAGCCTAATTTTAATTTTAAAAACTGTAGAATATTAACCATATGTGACTAAAGCTGGTATTCAACTACGTCTGATAAAATAACAAAGCTCTCAAAATTCTAACACTAGGGAAAATGGGGAGAAATAGAAGGGAGGAGTAAAGGAGAAATATTACTATTCTACTTAAGTTATAGATTATATTAGATGTATTATTTTCTAGAAAGCAAGCTGCCTTGATATTAAAAACAAAACAGGGCCGGGCGCGGTGGCTCACGCCTGTAATCCCAGCACTTTGGGAGGCCGAGGCAGGTGGATCACGAGGTCAAGAGATCGAGACCATCCTGGTCAACATGGTGAAACCCCGTCTCTA